GGGGGGGGGGGGGGGTATTCACAAGCAAAGAAAATGTTTTCTTCTTACAAGCAATGCTTAGGTGAGCAATAAAAGTTGTTCAAGGGGAAATGGAAAAAAAGATAACAGAAAATTGTCAATAATTTCAGGCAAAAAATCTATTATAATTGGCAGCCATTGAAATGCATTGGGGGCGGGGTATTTTATGCATTTGATATTTTTTTAAATTAATCAGCCAATGAATCGGTAATACTTTTTCTGACCAAAATCGACATGAGCCTCAAAAATTAATTTTGTTCGAGCCCTTTTGTGTGACTTCCAGGTGACTAGAAGTGCACTTTTCTCTAAAATATGTTGAATTTGAAAGTGTAAATCCTTAGGAGCTCCTTTAAGGGTCCCACTTTAGTTCTACTTAAGGATGAGCATAGTAGAGGATTAATTGATAGTGAATAATTGCGTCCATAAATTGTGATGAATTGACACAATTAAGGCCAAATGGAGAGCCCTGCATAACTGCCACCAAGAGAAGTGCTGCCCTTTCTCAACTAGTTTTTCTTGATTTCTGCAGACAGCAATGTCACTCTTGGGAACTGAACTGCATCAACGCCGTGAGAACAATTTCGGGAAGCATTATTCTGCTCTGTATGACATGAGCATGACAACAGTAGGTCAGAACAGAAGTTCTCCCATGTAATGAATTGATTATTTGAGATTTTTTTTGGGGAGGAGTTAAATGCCTATCAATGATTTATTAAAAAAAAAAAAGAGAGAGAGAAATGGAATTGGAGATGTTTGAGCTCTCTGTTTAAAGACATGTTAACAAGAATTGGGCGTTGCGGCTTTCTCCATCTCCATCTGGCACCCAGAGGAAGGAGTCACAGCAGAGGCCTCACGATGCACACCCACTCCACTCTCACCACGCATGCACAGTCACGAACACACACACATACTCTCACACGTTGACGTCTTAACTTGAAACGTACTCGAAGTGCTACACTGAAAAAAAAAAGTACCTAAAACTAAGCCTGATCAGTCGGTTGAAATTAACCAAAAGGTCATTTGCCTTTCATCCTGTCGAGGAGACGAGTTGTTTATGGTTGCACGTTGCGATTGACTGCCAGCCAATCCGGCGTGTAGTCTGCCTTTTGCTCAAAGTCAGCTAAAATAGGCACCAGCTCTCCACAATCCTGAAGAGAATGAGCGGCCGCTTCATTCAGAGAATCCTACGAGCAACCCAAACCTTTGATTTTTTAAGATCAAGAATTTGCAAAATGATATCCCGAAACAAAATGCCTCCCGATTGTTTCGCCAATAACTGGCACACAAGAAAAGACGTACGTGAACAGCTGTTCCTGTTGCTTCACTCTCACATCAATCTAATTGGAACGTTTAAAAAGCAAAGCGAGGGTATCGGGGATTGCAAATGGAAGAACGTCCACATTCACCGACAGCTGTTTCACCCTCCGGCTCGCTAAATTAACTCTCAATCCATTTACCAGCATTGCAGCTTAAGTCCTCCCTCCAGTTTGGCCGTCGTCTTCCTCCTAATCGAGTTTCTCGTAATTCCCACAAGGCGAAAGCAATGTAAGAGCCTCCTAATTCAGGGGGGGTAAAGATTTTGTTTCAGTGTACAACTGCACCTTGTGATCGCGCGCGACACGATGAAAACAACCTTCATAAATCCAGAGACAAATCTTCCTTCCAAATAAATGATCAGCCTTGTATCGCTCTTATCTTTCCCTTTGAAACCGAAACTTTGATGGAGGATGTCGAGCGGCGGTAACCTGTCTGACACCATGTTCCGAGCGCTTTGATTCTGGACGAGTGGGCTGCTTGGATAAACACGCGCGCGTGCGCACACAGCCGCTAACCTTGAGGTGAGAGGCGATGAAGAATGAACTTTTCAAGCCTTTCATGGTGCATTTTCCACCTCGACCTTGTTGTGTTGGTCCGTGGAGATCCAGGGAGATCTTTGCAAGACACAAATAAGCAGCCTCGTCTGAAGACTCCTTTAATGAGGCTTTAATTGCCTTATTAGCTCCTGCTATCGACGGCAAAGGGAGGTGAGGAAATGGGTCAGGCAATGGAGGGAAGCCAGGCGGTAACAAGGTAGAAAATGCACGCAGTGTAAACATCTCGGTTCAATGGTTGCGCCGTGTAGAGGGAAGGTCATGTCTCGCGCAACAGAGTTGTCTGGTGATAAAAAAACACTCAGGTACAGTGCCGCTGATACAGTGAAACTCCTCTACAACGAAATGATGTTTGCAGCAAGAAAATTTTCACAACAGGGGGGGGTTTTCACTGTAGCAAATTTGATCTCAGATGTAAACATACATGCACACACACACACAAACGTATGTGTACTCTTTATTTTTATTCCAATGGTGCATAAGTATGAGCATACACTTATTTGACACTTCATATAGTAAGTGCAGAAAGAAAAAAAGGGAAAGAAATTGCGAAATTTACGATCAGCATTCACTTTCACTTCTTGGATAATGTCTTGTATGTTGTTTCCTCCGTCTTTAATTTTGATCACTTTTCCCCTCTCATCCAGCGTCAGAGCTCTTCTTGTCTTAGCTGCTTGACATCCAGAGGTCCTTTTTGTAGCCATTTTAGCAATGCAACGTTCTTGCTGCGTCTGAAACTAACCATAACAAATACTTCCTGGACTACTGCGCATGTGTAAACCAGTGTGGTGGTTGCTGTTGCCGTTTCCGAACGAAGCAGTAGAGGTCGCTGTTGGATTAGACTTCGTTGTAGTGAGTCTCGTCTCAAGGCAAGAGCAGAGAAAAAGATTTCGTATAACGCAACAGGGTTTTTTTTTTCGTTGTATGGGGGACAGGAAAGAGGGAATGGTGTTAATGCATGACGATTTTTTCCACACTAGTTTGTATTTTCACCCATGTAGGTTTCGTTGTAGAGGAGTTTCACTGTAATGACGACACCTACAGATGCGGAATGTGTGGTTGACACAAGATGGACAGTCAATGGTAAGGCGATTTTGAGTGGGCTGGAATAATGCCACCCCAGCTGCAAATTTGTACTGGTTGGCCACAAATAGTAAGATAAGTTACTCTTTGTTGAGCCTGGTTAGCATTAGAGCGTTTTGCCTTTAGATTTCGCTGCCCAGGAAGGACTAATCCTGCGATGACGAGTGCTGGCAAAGCAGTTGGCTTGGGAGCAAGTCGCGGGTGGTTCGCTGTTTTACGCTCACTTGAAGAGTAGGGGGGGTGGAGTTGAGCTCGAGGGACTAAGATGGAGTGATGACTTATTTCCTCCCTCGGATTGTATTTGTGCTCGCGCAGAAAGGACGACAGTCTTGTTTTTAAATTCCTCATTAAATGAAAACAAAAAAGAAAGAAAAAAAGAGCGTTCCAGCAACAAGTTTTTCCACATGTCTGTGAGACCTGCAGGGTAAAAGTTACAGCTGGCTACCATTGTGGACTGAATGGGTGGCAACATTTTGGCGTGGTTTGCAAATGAGCACCAGAGGTTGTTGTTTGGTGCTTATTTTTTTTTCCCTCCACCGTCCCACCGACCTCATGGAGCAACTTACGGTCTTATGGCACATCTGGCCAATGTTTCACGTTAATAGGTGTAGTAGATGTCATTTTTTGCGGCGGTGTGGAGCTGCCAATGTGGACTAAAAATATATTTCACTGGCAAATACGTACTTGGAGTCTAAATGCTACAAATGTAGGCATTGATTTGCACGTGCGCTATGGGGAAAAAAAATGCCGAACGTAAATCATGCACCGCAGCCATAATAAAACCATAAAATTCAGAATCAACAATCTTTACTTACTTAATTCAGAAACTGAACTGAGCTCCTTCATGTTCAAATTTGCAAAATGAACGTTGAGCTAGTTTGCATAGAAATTGAACTTCACCAACACTGGTGTCACCATTACTGAATTTCCTTCCACACCAGTGCTGTCCCACCTCTGATGAGACCTCCGAAGGCAGAAAATGGAGACGTGACCTTTTTCCTGTCCATTTTAAGTCGGAGCTGTTTATACACAACAGCGAAATGGTGTGTTTCCAAACACTGATTGTTTTAGGAAAGCGACGGGGCGCTCTGGACCCGCATCAAACACCGCTCTAGTTTTCCGCGTACGTTTTACTGACAATGATCTCGCAAAAGGGTGTCACATACACAGAACCGGATCTTTTCATGATTAGTCTGTGGCTTTCATAGACAAGTCGGAATGTAATAAAATGATGATTAAAAAAATAAAAAGGCACCGCCAACAATAACTTTGAAGACGTGAATCTCAATGGAGTCAAAGCGTCGTGAGTAACACATCACAGGACCCAAACTAACATCTGTTGTCGAGGCCCGTCGTTAACATAACACGCCTTTGTCCCCGTGGATTTTTTTTGTTTTTTTGTTTTTGGGGGTTTTTTTTTGGAGCAAACCCATCTGTTTTCTATACAACTCCATCTAGTGAAGTGATACTACAAAATGAGGCAAGTAGGAGTGCGGCTTTCTCCTACCAGGAGACAGTATACAGTTTCCACTGCGATGTCGCCTCTTCATCTCCCACCCACTACAACAACACACTGTTTATATTTAGTGTGAGAATCAGCACGCAAGGTTTTCTCCGTTCCATGCATACTAATGTGATTGCACACCTTTGCACTGTTAAAAGCTCGCCAGAACGTGTTCGTACTTTAACGTGTCCGTGTTGCGCGCGTGGCAATTATGGCCATTTTGCAAAAAGACAATGGCTCCCTTTGCCGCTCCCCCCCCCCTTCCCCCCCCCCCCCCCCCCCCCCGCATGTTGTTCGCCAGTGCTCGTTAGAAGCCATTCAGTCAATCAAGCGTGAGTCCCCCAACACAATGACATGCAAAGTGCTTTGTCGGGGTGTAATTGGCCTTGCTGGAGCTGATTTTTCTCTTTTTGTTGTTGTTTTCTCCGTTTGTGCCTGCATCACTTAGCTCTCATGGACAGGTGTGCCGCTCAAGAAGCTGGAGTTGGCTAAAGGAAGTGGACGGTGAGATAGATTAAAACAAAGAGGGACGGAATTGATAGATTGGACTATTGATTGCGCAGCGGGATTTTACTTGTTTGTGCAACTGAATTGAAATGCTGAACAGCGGGGTGGGGGGGGGGTAATAGATCCTCAAATTTGAATACAACTGCAGCCTTACAATTCCACATTCAAGCAAACTACTTTATATCCCTTGAAAGACAAACCAAAATTCTTATTTCTGACTTTAGCCGTCCATTATGTTAGCGTGTGAATCAACATCATATCAAGGTGCCTTCTAGACTTTCCCACTTCACCCTCCAAAAGGTCGAGATTTTCCACAGCACTTCTTCCTCGTCATCAATACTGTAGATGTCATGATGTTTAGAAATGCGTCTGGGTCAAGCAATTTAACTCGAAGCGGACTGTTCTAAAATTTAAAAAAAAAATAAAATGTCCTCCTCATCCATGTGATGGGTATCAGCCGATCTCACTCATGGATGATCGTATCGTTATCGGGAGCATAAAACCCTGATGAGAACACCCCTAGTTAGCGGAGCATCCTCTGATCCTCCTACTGCCGTTTAAAGCTTCACATCACCTACGGACTGTACCAAATTAATCATTCCCTTTGTGTGTTCATGTGTTGTTTGACAAGCACCGAAATTCCAAAAAAAAAAAAAAAAAGACGCGGAGGATAAATGTCTTGTCCAGTTTAACATCGTGAATTAAAGTAGCTTCATTTTTAATCAAGCAGATGTGTTGATATGAATATTAGACTTTGAAAGTTCTCCCCTCCAACTACTATTTTGCATTCCGACGCCTTTTTTTGACTTGATTTATGTTGACTGGCAGTGAGGATACCGATGAGGACACCAAGTCTTGTCCACCAGAGGGCGCCATTTATATCTCAAACTTTAACTTGGGGGCGCTGAGCCGCTCAAAATGATAATAATTCTCATGAAAGTTGTCCCCAAATATATAAAAAAAAAACTGCCAATGAAGGGGGAATTGTTCACACGGAAACCGTAAAATGAGCAAAATGCTGCTCATCAGATGTTCTGGTTTACTTTGACTCGGGCAATTAAGATCATAAAGTGTTTAAATTTTACTTGCATATATTCTCACATTTTGTTTGTGCATTAGTCCAGTGTGTGTGTGTGTGTGTGTGTGTGTGTGTGTGTGTGTGTGTGTACACAATACCAGTGTATTTTTATCTTCTTGGTGT